AATTTGTTATTTGTTATATATTTGTTATTGTTATAAATATTGTTAGTTTTGAACAAATAACATTCTCATAATTTTCAGTTGAAGTTATACCTCTACAGGGATGATTGCAGCCTTATGAACATAAAGTGGCTAGAACTGACCATCTCATAGAGTTCACAATACTAATTTTCAATGAGGAGTTAGAGTAATAGAAATCTCCTCCTTTCCTCAAACACCTTACACTTTATGGCATATATAATGTCATTATGTAACCACCAACATGAAATAAAATGCATATGAACTGCTGAATGGAGAAGGGATTTGTTCAGGAATCTTTTGTTCAAATTATAAACTCAAATAAGCAAATAGAACACTGAAAAGAAGAAAACAAAGAGACAAGAAGAGATCTCTAGACCAATTACATGAGACTCAGGGAATAATACTGAAGATTAAAATTTTAAAATATCCTCAGTGAATGCTAATGGATACTCAGAGTTGAGAGCCACTGCCTTAGACTGGTTCATACTTCAGGATTCTTGACAATTTAATATAGAAAGTTATCTATCTCTTATAAGACCTTAAATTCCATGAAATGACTGAGAGACGGTCTCTAATTTGTGTGTTTCTGGCTCTTATGTGCACACTTACCCTAAGATAAAAGAGTTGTGGTCTTTTCTTCTGAGACTAGACATTACCAGGAAAAGACAGACATCGTTTCTTAGCTGCTATCTCAACTACCTAACTGTATGTAGATACTTACACTCTTCTTTACTTGGTGAAGTTACATTCAGTTCTGTCGGAAGCGGCTGCTGGCTGGGACTAAGAGTTGGCGTGGTTATAGAGGTATTGTTGTTGTCACTGGTGGTCTCTTCAGAAAACAAATCTGATTGGCTGTTACTTGTACTTGGAGCAGAATCATCATCTGGTTGTTTCTTTTGAAAATCTGAAGAAAAAGAGAGGGAAAGAGAATTAAGAACTCCAGTTTCCTTCCTTATTAGAGAATTATCTTAGTATAAAAACAAAATGTAGTAACAAAAATAAATCTGGTTGATATGAAAGAAGATAGAATTGAAACACTTGTCCAAAACACAGAAAGACTGGTAGAGAGATGGTGACTGAAGTTAAAACTTTCCAAGGTCCTTGTATTATTCAGAAGAATGGTAGGTACAGGGATTTTAATACTGGTCTTTGCAAAGTTAAAGTTGCACCTTAAAGTCCTAAGGATAATTAGTGAAGGTAGAAAAGCGGATCAAATAAGTAGAGGATATATAAAAAGAAGCCCTACTGGGATAGTGCACTACATGTTGTGCTTCTAAAAGAAAGGCTGATAATTTGAATCCACTATTAACTCTGTAAGAGAAAAATGAGGCAAGTTGGCTCACATGAATATAAAATTAAAGCCTTGGAAATTTGATGGGAGGTCACCATGACTCAGAATGAGTGAGTACGTTTGTATTAAGAATGAAAAAAAGATAAAGACAGGAGACTAGAAACCAGGAAAAATAGATGTTAAGAAGACAGCAGAAAGAAAGAGCAATAGATTAGCAATGGTAATAAATGTCAAGGGACTAAATTTATCTGTTCAAAGAGAAAAATATTTAGAATAATTAAAATAGTAACATATAACTTACAAGAAACATTCCAGAAATATAAAGATTAAAAAAATTAAAGATAATAAAGCAGCACAGGCAAATACAAACTAATATAAAACCATTAATAGTACTAGCATTATAAAAAAATGTAGAGTTTAAGATAAAAGAAGAAGGATCATCAGGTAAGGATAAAAAATAATTGGCCAAGGTGATGATAAAATGGTTCTAAATTTCTACTCTATCAGCAGTCGCTCAAAAAAAGTAAATTGAAAATGATCATATATATGAGAAAGTAACAAATTCACTAACACAATGGGAAAACAACTGCCTCCAAGAAAGTGGAACAGACCACCAACTACTCATATGCAAGTTCAAGTTGAAGCTGAGGAAAATTAAATCAAATCCACAGGAGCCAAAATATGACTTTGACTTCATCCCACCTGAATTTCAGAATCATCTCAGGAACAGGTTTGAGGCCTTGAACACTAATGAGTGAAGACCAGATGAGTTGTGGGAGGATGTCAAATGTATCATCCAAGAAGAGTGCAAACGGTCATTACAAAGTTTACAAGAAACTCTGAAGATTGCACTGGAGCATAGGGAAGCCAAAGCACAAGGAAAAATTCAAGATACTAAAGAGCTGAATAGAAGATTTCAAAAGGCAGCACGGGATGACAAAGCAAAATATTACAAGGAAATGTGCAAGGAGTTGGAGTCAGAAAATCAAAAGGCCCGAACTCGCTCAACATTTCTTAAGCTCAAGGAACTGAAGAACCTCAAGTTGCTATAATCAAGGATGCTTTCGGCAGAATGTTAAATGATCCAGGACGTATAAAAAGAAGATGGAAAGAATATACTGAGTCACTGTATCGAAGAAAATTGGCAGACACAGAAGAATTTCATGAAACAACATATGAGCAAGAGCCTACGGTGATGAAAGAAGTATTTCAGGCTGCTTTGAAGGAAATGGCAAAAAATGAGGCTCCAGGAATAGATGGTCTGCCAGTTGACATATTTCAGCTAACAGATGCTGCCCTGGATGTGCTCACCAAGTTGTGCCAAGAAATCTGGAGAACAACCACTTGGCCAACGGACTGGAAGAGATCTATATTTGTTCCCATTCCAAAGAAAGGTGACCCAACTGAGTGTGGAAACTACAGAACAGTGTCATTGATTTCACATGCAAGCAAGATTCTACTGAAGATTATCCAAAAACGACTGGAACAGCACATCAGCAGAGAACTGCCAGAAGTCCAGGCTGGGTTTAGAAGGGGTCGTGGTACTAGGGATATTGTAGCTGATGTTAGATGGATCTTAGCTGAAAGCAAGGAATACCAGAAGAATGTATATCTGTGTTTCATTGGTTATGCAAAGGCGTTTGACTGTGTGGATCATAACAAACTGTGGCTGACTCTGAGAAGAATGGGAATCCCAGAACATTTAATCGTGCTAATGCAAAACCTATACTTGGACCAAGAGGCAGTCGTCAGAACAGAGCAGGGTAACACTGCATGGTTCAAAATTGGGAAGGGTGTACGCCAGGGATGTGTCCTATCTCCATACCTTTTCAACCTGTATGCAGAGCAGATTATCTGAGAGGCTGGGCTCTATGAGGAGAAGTGTGGCGTCAGGATTGGTGGAAGATCTATTAACAATCTGCGTTATGCAGATGACACAACCCTGCTTGCTGAAACTGAGGAGGAACCCATGCACTTCAGTATGGACTGAGGCTCAATGTCAAGAAGACAAAGATTCTCACCACTGGACCAATTGGTAGCATCAGGATGGATGGAGTAGAGATTGAGATTGTTCACAGCTTCAATTTGCTCGGCTCCATGGTCAACACTCTTGGCACCAGCAGCCAGGAAATCAAAAAACGTATCGCGATGGGAAAGTCTGCGGTTAGGGAGCTCTCTAAAGTACTCAAGAGCAACGGAGTCTCTTTGGAGATGAAGGTGCGCCTGATACAGGCCATGGTCTTTGTAAATCACTTGTTATGCATCAGAGAGTTGGACAATGACTAGGGAGGATAGAAGGAGAATTGATGCCTTTGAGCTGTGATGCTGGAGAAGAGTAATAAATGTACCATGAACTGCCAAGAAAACAAACAGATTCATCCTGGAGAGGGTTAAACCAGGCTACTCCTTGGAGACAAGGATTCTGGGGCTTCATCTGACATATTTGGAACATGTTGTAAGGAGAGACAGGTCCTTGGAGGGGGACATCATGCTTGGTAGGGTGGAGGGACAGCGCAGGAGAGGAAGACCCTCTATGAGGTGGATTGATTCAGTGACTGGGGTAATCGGGATGGGTGTGTCAGAGGCAGTGCAATTGGCACAGGATGGAGCAGGGTTAGGGCTGTTGTACACAGGGTCGCTATGAGTCTCAAACGACTCGACGGCACATAACAACAACAACAACAAAGCATATATAGACATCAATACTCAACAATTAAAGAATGAATTCTTTTCCGGTACACATGAAGTATTTCTAAGAACTGACAAATGCCTGGACTAAACCTAAATCACATATCAGGCAATTATCAGACAACGCCAAAGATTAAGATACTGACAATACTATCTTTCTACAGAGCAATGCCTCCAAATGAGTTCTGGTGGCCTGGTCTGTAGGGATATACTGTTAATCCAAAGGGTCCGAGTCTCCTGGGTTCGCATCCACCAGTGGATCTCTGAGAGGAAGATCTGCAATTTCTTCCCATGGCACTTAAAATCCCAGTAATCTGCTGGAGGTCAGCTAAAAGTCAGCTCTAGCTCAGAAGTGTAACTCAGAAAATATTTTTTTTTTATTACCAAAGGATAGTGTGTGCATAGTTCCCCTAAAATAATTTTTAAAGAATAATTAAAAAATATTATCACAATAAAAGATAGTAGCCATCTGTTAGATGGAAGTGTAAGAATGTGATGGTTACCACTAAATACAAAATAAGCACAATCTGCCAGAGTGCATTTCAATTCACAGCACACTAGGACAGAAAAGAACTATCCATATAGTTTCCAAGGCCATAAATCTTTATAGAAGCAGTCTCCCTCATCTCCCTCCCAGGGTAACGTGGTGGGTTTGAATAAAAGATCTGTTCAGTTATTGTACAAATGCTTTATCCACTTTGCCACCAGGGTTCTATATTTAGTAAAAACAAACATCATCTGCAATTCACACATTTTTCCCCTTTCAATATACTCAAGATGCTTAGATATATACAAATATGAAAAAAGTGACAGAATATTTTACCAAAAAAGAATAAGTAAAATTAATTTTTTAATAGACTATGCTATAGTAGCTGGAAGGGAGGCTTAGTAGTAAGGAACTGTGCAACCAACCTAAAGGCATCTACCATATACTATTTCTTTATTAATCCCAAGGATAACCCTAACAAGAAATGTATAATTAACACTTTATTAATGAAGAAATCAGAGTCCAGAAAGTCTAGCTAATTTGTTGCGAGTTAACAGCTACTAAGTTGCAGAGTCAAGGAACTCTGGGTTCCTTAAACACTGAAACCCAGTGTCTAGTTGTTAAACACTGAGCTGCTGCTAGTGGTAAAGTTAGTGGATGTTTGAATATCTTGGTGATCTGCTCCCATAAAAATTATTGTCTAGGAAACTCTGTGAAGAAGGAGTTTACTCTGTCTTTCAGCATTACCATGGGTAAGAACTGACTCAATGCACACAAGAAAGGATTTAAATATAAATTCACTCAACACCAAAGTCCATGGTTCTCAACCATGGCCACGTGATATAGGACAGGGAGTACTGGATTAGTCTAAGGAAGAGGGTTCAAGTCACACTTTATTTCAGAAAAAATGGTGAGAGAATGTAATGGATTTAGCCAAAGAGTCACTAAATTGTGTAGATCAAGGTATCTAAAGTCTCCACTGTGTCTTTTATATATGTGTTCTTCTTAGCCACTTTCTCACTTTTCAATGTTTTGACATTTTAAAATTGCTTTGTTATCTCAATGTTATTTGTACAACACCTTCAGAGAAAAAGGTACCATATAAATGGGGTTAAAATACTGCAATAATGATGGGTTTTTATGTCATGTCATCTCATTAACTCTCCTATGTCAATAATCACTGTTTCCCTTCCATAACCATCTCTCTAACATTTAACTGGAAATTTTATAAGGTTCTAAAATAGCAAAATCTAAGCCAGTTCTGTCCCAGCTAGCACAATCCAATGCCTTGATAAATGTACTATACATTCACCACACAGGCACAGTAACCCTTTGAAATGAAATGTTTGGAGTTTTATTTTTTGTCGAAAAACAATTTAGTAGGGCCCCTCCACACACTCTTGAGCCCGAGGCTGCCATATTTCTTTGATGTTCAGGT